CCCTCTGGCAAGGTCTAGAAACATCAAGGTACAAAATCTCAGACTCCCCCCTCCTAATCAACCCAGCCTGTGATGCGCAACCTACACCCCCTGCGGCGAATCGTACTAGGGAAAGCCGGTCAGAGTAATTGGGGGCGTGGCCGAGGATTTTTGGGCGGGGGTTGAATCGCACGGGCGAAACGGGGGATCCTAGCCTCAGTCCCGAGGTTGTCCGGCAGAGATGGCCAAAAATGAAAACACAGAAACTTGAGGGGGCAAGTTGCACTGATCAAGACTGACAAAGTTTTCTGTAGCATTAGTGCCAACAGCTTCAATCTGATCCTCCCATTACCAACCCCCACGACATTCTGTACACTGCATGGGCCTGCTCAGTCAATCCCCTGGGTCCCAGGGCAATCAATGCTGGGAGGCCCCACGGTCACTGTTCTCAGACGTTCCCAGTTGTGCTGTGTATACGGGACGCTCGACCCGCTTTCCAGCAGGTGAAGATCCCCACCAATAGATGGAGTCTCTCTTAGGGGCTAGGGTTGATTGCTCTTATCAGCACCCCTAGCACCCCAAGGGATGTTTTCCAAAAAAAAAAAAAGGGGGGGGCAAGTTGCGACAGCCTGTGGAGTATAGACAAAATTCCGCTCCGGCTGGGTTTAAGAGCAAGGCGGTATGCAGCAACTGAAATGGAACAAGGCAACAATGCGGAATCTACTGCATCTCTCGCGCTAGGTTTACGCCAACTTTATTGCAAGGATCCGAGGGATAAGGAGCCTCGCAAGTTCCCGAGTCCGATTCATCGAGTCCGTGAGGTCGACCTGGAGCCTCGTTGTCCGAACCCGGCGCGGCTGAGGACACCCAGGTTTGAAAACGTGCCGGTAAAGCCCCCGCACTGCAGGAGAGTTGGGGGAACTGAGCCGAACCTTCGTACCCCAGCACCAGCCTTCGCCACGAACACGAGTCTCCCCGCAGACACCAGCGGCAGTCAAACTAAGGCTTCCACGCAGCATGGGCAGCTGACCATGGCAGCACCATCAGGTTCGTGTAAGGCAAGATCAGGGGGATGAAAACCGATCGATCAGAACAAACCTGCTTCCCCCTATATGGCAAGCCTTAGACGGGTTATAGAGGTGGACCTGATCAGTTGGCAACAGCACCCTCTGCATGTCTCCATCGCAGTACACACCGTCCTCGTCTGCAATAGGGAACGATGGTATGGTGTTATGGCAGATCGACGAGAGGGTTGAGCACGGGCAATTACCCGCGCCCACGTTCAGCGTGGCGAACTTCGACTCCATACAAATCTCCGCAGACCTTACCCCACTATCTCCCACTTATCAAAAATGCAAGTTATCAAAAATGCAAGTTCGGGGGCACGTCGCCGTGATCACCAAATCAGCATCAAGATGTTCTGGCTACGGCCAGGCAGCAGAGAGATCGGGCGGGTCGACTAAACGCCCACGTCCGACATCTTTGATTGCCGGCAATCGCCCCATGGGTCCATGGGAACAACCAACATGTGGCACTTGCGCGCGAGAGGGGAGAGAGGGAAAGCTTGATGACGATCCCCACACTTCTTGGTAGCGCCGGGATCGGCAAGGGCCGGGAAGACGGAGGGGATCAACACACTCGTACTCACAGGCAGACGTTCGACACCCCACCATTCCCCTGAGTTGCGCCTAGGTGCGCCTTATAATCATGACATTCATTCTCATCCATACATGCACAAGTACTGGACAGTGAAGCATTCTACATCCACACTCTCGTAACCACATCATGCATGCGACTGAGTGACCACACTTAGCCTATTGCGCGCAGGACACTTGGACAAAGCAGCGTTGGAGAAAGTGAGTCCCTCGCTCATTCTAAATTCAAACAGTGCTGGCCCGCCATCGGCACAGCCACCAATCAACCAGAACCACAACCAACCATAGCCACAAGGCCCTCCCGTTGGCCGCGTTCTATCTCCACCACCGCTCGGCGCTCGGTCCCTCCGACTGCTTGCCCTCAAGTCTACCGCCAATTCCGTCCCACTCCGTTACTCCACCCGTCTGTTGGGCGCGTCAAGCTTGTTCGGCGCCACAGTCTTCGCGCACATAGCTCGCACAGCGTTGCAGCCGAGATCAAAGAGGAGGAAAGGAGCTGCCGGAATTTATAGCGCGGAAGGCGACGGGGTGCCAGTGTGAGGCGCGGGCAGCAAGGGGTGTAGATGTGCAGGACGGGAAGACGGAAGGGGTTGCCAGAAGGGGCGTGGGAGGTGAAGCAATCGATAATTACATTCAATTGGAGTGGTCATTCAAGCTGCACGCGAAGTTCGCTTTCAGCGCATTGATCCGGTCACTCCAACTAATGACCAATCAATGAAAAGCAAGGGGCGGAGGGACGTAGAATTGGAGGAAGACGAAGGGTTATGCAAAGAGGGGCGCTCAACAAGAAAGGAAGATGGCGCGCATATGCAGCGCGGGAGGCGAGTTTACGTGGTATGCAAGAATTCAAAAAAATGGCCATGCTCGCATGCAAGAATTAAAAATGGCCGCACGCGGTTTAACCCGAAGAAAATTTTGAATGCCGACAACCCAAAATCCTAACTATTTCTTGAAATCCTCCACACGGTAGCTGACTCCGATTTTTCGGAATGAGGACAGTGGCAGTTGCGAAAGATGCATCCATTCAATCCCACAAGTGAGAGATGGACCCCGCTTTCCTTGATCAGCCACGACCCGTGTTTCGGGGCTCCCTCGAGGTTTGACTCCGAAGGGTACGAAAAGCCGCGAAGCACGGATCCTGGCTCATCACAAGCCACACTATTCCTCGACATTAAACAAACTTCCCCACTCAAAGGCTTCGAAGCCGTCCTCTCCTCCCAAGTCAAGAAAAGCACCCTCTGGGCCATATTGAAAATTAGATGCAACAGCACCTTCGAGGACCAGCTCACCACCCCTGAAAACCCAATCGTCACCATCAAACAACTAATAGACACCGAGATCCACGCCCTCTGGGAGAAGCAGCACAATGAACTCCCCACTGGCCCCGACAAAAAAGCTGAAATAATAAAAAAGTTATCTATCTCTAAACTAGGCAATAAACAACGACAGACTCATCCTTAAAAATTGCCTAATCATAACACAGCCGCAAAGCACCTCTAAGCTCCACTAACCCCCACACAATCACCATCAAACCAGCCCCGCATCACTAATCCACAACCGGTTCACTAAAAATCTCTCTCTCCCCAACAAACCCACTCCTTCCCCCGCCTCCCCAGGCCCAAGCGACCGTCTTTACATCACCACTCACTCCAACCACCCTCCCCCCCCACCCCCCTTACATTACCCAATACATTGTGCCACCCAAAGCCCCCAAATACAGCCATCCCAAAACCTCAGCACCTATTCCACGAAGAAAACCTTCACCGGTTTCAAACAGACCCCCTCCCCATTCTCTAGCAATACCTAGAATACAGACCAACCCCAGCAACCACTACAGGTTTGACCAACAGCTACAGTATAGAAACGCCCCCCAGAGACAGGCCACAGACATGAGACAGTCAGCGAGGGTTTAGGGTTTCTGCACCAAATATAGGATAGGAGCAGAAACCCGGTAGAACAGGCGAACTTAGGCAGGGGTGAAGGGTGGTACATCCCTCCCTAGAGAGGTAATCAATGTTGTCCTTTGGGAGTGAGTACATATTGTAATCCTTTCTGACTTGCCGGTGGAATAGGAACCAGACTGACGCTCCCTGGAATGGAAAAGGATCCGGAACCCTAAGGTTCTGTTTTTTTTTTTTTTTTTAAGAAAAAAAAAGATGGGAATTCCCCCTATATCCAGTCTCAGCACCCAACTTGCATCTCTACCCAGACCCTGTCCAACTTAAACCACCAGTACGTTCCCAGCCATTTTTTCAGAGTTGCGGCGTGCATGCTGCTGCAACTCTCAGGAAGTACCAGGGTGCCGTTTCACTGGATATCCATCCAGGCAAAACGGGCCTCACAAACTGCCGCAACACTTGGGTAATACCCTACTTATCCTGTGCGCCAAAGTATATGCATAGCAGGTCCCAAGAATTTATTTGATTGATTTCCTAATTAATAATTAATATTATTGAGAATAAGTAAATTATGTATATATAAATTAGATATACATATATTATTTTTAATACATTCACAAGCTGTTGGTTGGGGAGCACAAAATTATGCTCATGCCCATAAACCAACCAGGCAAAGTTGGGTATGCAGTACTATGCACATCATTTTCCTGGGTAAGTGCATAATTTGAGCGTTCCGGTCGTTGGGTATAACTGAACCGGACTAAGATAGAGTCCTTTTAAATCTGTAAAAGGTTTAAAGACACAAGTTGGGTTGTCTAGGTTCAAATAACATTTCACTATATGGGAGAACATGCTCTGGCTTTCGGCCCTTTGTTTTGTGTGAAGAATTCTATACACATACGTTTCAGTTCACCTTACTGAAATGTAACGGGCATAGCGATTCAGCGGTACCAACCTTGGCACACCTCAGTCCCTGGTATGAAAATGATTTGCACAGGGCATTTCCTGGGTATAGATGCAAGGTGGGCGTTGGGACTGGGTATAGCGGGTATGCCCATCTTTAAACCACCAGTACTTCGCCCAGCTTGAAAAATAAATATGCGGCTCGTATACAACCGCATCTTTCGGGGTCGGTTACCAGACCGAAAAGGCTGGTGGTGCCAGCCAAAAGAAGGCCTGCATAGGTTCTTTTTTGGGGGGGGCATGCAGGGCGATTTTAGGGTCGGCATCAATGGCTGGGCGAGGCACTGGTGGTTTAAATGGGGTACAGAATCTACAGATACAATTTCCGAAAAAAAAGGAAAAAGCAGACCTCCATTTACCTAAAGAAGCGAGGGTACCAAATTGCCTAGCTCAGTTGGTACACCTCTGAACTTTCGAAATATAGACCCGAGTCCATGCAATGATAAACTCTGCTATGAGGGGCAGGGTGCTTGCAAGAAGACAGAGACTTCTGTCTGACACTAACCTGGAAATCGTGCAGCAGCCGATCAGGCGAGGATTCTTGAGAATTCACCATTGTGGATAAATTAGAGCAGAGGACACCAAAAGCGGAGCAGAACGTGGTACCGTCTTCCACCAATAGAACACACAGTCATTATAGCTGTATTTGGGGCAACTATCAGTCGCGATACAACATTAATGAGTTTGCAACTTTGCATTCTATTCAGGGGAAGACGGTAGTCTAGAGGAAGAACACAGGACCAGATTCATTGTCTCCAAGCCTGCAGAGGAGTAACATAGCGAGAGAAATGACAGGATGACATCAAGGAAGGTGATGAGTGAATTATAGTCCTATATACCTTAACAATTTATTAAATTTTATTTACTTGTTTATTTCCAACAAAACGGGTCCTTATGGGCCTAGCTCCTTGTCCAATCTTTTTTTTCTTTTTTTTTTTTCCTTTTTTTTTCAACTTTTGAGCGGGAAAAACCTACTCAGCAATGATCATCAATGACCATCAATCATGAATGTATTTCCATTATAAGGGATGGTGGGCCTGGTTCCCAGCACGTGCTGCTCCCCACGAATAGATTGGAGCAATTGAAAAAAACAAAAAAAGAAAAAAAAAAGAGCATCCCCAATAAGTAGGCCCCAGTCTTGAAGGCCCAATCTATTGGTGGGGAGCTGCACCTGCTGGAAATCGGGTCCAGCGTCCCTATACAATGATGTGATGTGTATGAGCTCAAAAACGGGTCCAGCGTCCATATACAGTGATGATTGTATATTCCTATTGAGCATCCTATAATTGTCTATATATTTTTGTCAATCTCTTTCTATTGCGGGGTGGACATGTCACAAAATCCTAATGAAGTTGTAAATCCACGGAACCCGAACAAAGATGGAATGTATGTGCTCTGTATCAATGAACCTAAACACGAAACCCTATCACTGATGTGATGTGTGTGATCAGAATCAATCAAGCCTAAACATGAAACCCTATCAACAATGTGGTATGTGTGATCTGGACATCGAGTCCAGCATCCCTTATGCAATAGAGTGTGATAATATCCTACTACACATTGTCTGAAGAGAGCAGGGGAATTGATTACTTCCCTACACAAGGGAAGGATTGACCTCCTGCAAATGAAGTGATATTCGGGCGAGAGGCATCTTCATCAAGCTAATCTCTAACCAACCCACCTCCCGTCCGAGGCAGCACCAACCACCATCAACTATCCTACTCCTATCCTCTGCCAGACAACAAAGAGCAACTCCATATCAAGGTTGGAAGGGGGGAGGATAGTAGACCAATTTTTGTCACCCCCACGCCCCTCCACATCTGCTTGCGGCATGCTGCTGCCGTGGTCGTCTCCGCCGCCGACGTTGTTGTTGTTGTTGTTGTTGTTGTTGTTGTTGTTGTTGTTGTTGTTGTTGTTGTCGCCGCCGTCAATGTTGTTGTTGTTGTTGTTGTTGTTGTTGTTGTGACCCCCAATCCCCTCGACGTCATCTCTCCCACCGTGCTAATAACGATCATGGATGCGCAAACACCGCTCTCTGCCCCGCTGCTGCCATATGAATGAGCGTACGTCCGTCGTGGTACGAGGTTCCGGACAGTCCATGATGGCTTGGATCTTGTCCACTAAGGGCCGAATGCCTTGCAGCGGTAACATAATGGCCCAAGTACTCAAGCTCTTGCTGTGCGAATTCACACTTGTCGCGATTTGCTTTGTACTTGGCCGTGCGAAGCCTTTCGAGAATAGCGTGAAGGTGTTCGAGATGCTCGTCGAACGTCCGAGTATAAACCAAGATGTCATCAAGGTAAATGAGTACGGTGAGGTCGAGTAGGTCTCGAAACTCGGTCGTCAGAGCTGCTTGGAAGGTCGTCGGGGCATTGGTGAGGCCGAATGGCATTACGACCCACTCAAAATGCCCATACCGCGTTTTGAAGGCGGTCTTGTACTGATCTTGGGGCTGGATTTCAATCTGGTGGTAACCAGACTTTAAGTCCAACTTTGAGAAGTACGTGGCGCCACCCAATCTCTCAAAGAGATCATCAATCCGAGGGAGAGGGTCGGCGACTCGGCGTTCTTCATGGTTTGCGCGTTAAGTTTTCAATAATCTATGCACAACCGGAGGGTCAGGGCACCGGAGCGCGAACAACTCGGGGGAATCCAGCCCTTGTATAAGAGGTCATCGAGTTGTGCGCGAACAACCTCGAGTTCCTCTTCGCTCATCCGGTAAATACATTCGCGCGGAGGGACGACACCGTCCTCGAGAGTAATCCCGTGACGTATGGACCGATTCGGGACCGTTTTGGCGGGAGCTGCAAAGACGTCTCCATAACCATCTAAGAGCTGAAGAATACGTGGGTCCGACGGCGATGTCTTTCGTCTGTCCGTCTGAGGGATTGCATGCAAGAAGCATATTCCCATCTCACCGACGTCGTTCCGAGTAATGGCATCGCGAATCCTCGCTGTGGAGACCAAGTGGTAACCAATCGAAGTGTGAGGGGGTGGGACCGTACACGGGACTAGCTCACCGTTCCGGTCACGAACGTGAACGGTGCGGTTGTGGAAGTTCACCGGGTGGTCGGCGCTACGCAACTAAGACATGCCTAAAATCATGTCGAACTTGGTGTCGCAGATGTCGAAAGACGCCGGCTTGCACGCAAGTGGCACAAAATAAACCAGGATGCCGTCAATGCATCGGTCAATTGACTTTTGCGTGTGTCCGTCTGTGAGTGTTACGTGCGTTTTCCTTTGAACGCGGGGGCCGAGGCCAGCGCGAGCCATAAAAGTTTGGCTCATATAGTTGCGAGACGCTCCGCAATCAATCAAGGCACTGCAGGTTGCCTTTCTGATTTGAATGCGGATATAGAGGAGGGGTGCGCCGGTTTCGACGTACCTTTGGGAGGCGTGCTCGCGGTCGATCTTTGCAAGATAGGTGTGAATATCGACAACCGCTACTCCGTCGTCCGTCAACGGAGCTAGTACTGCAACGTGCAAGTGGGCGCGTAGGTTGGCCATTAAGGCATTGCAATGCGGCTTGGGCAAGATCCGGTCGAGGGAAGAAGCAACCATTGGAAGTCCTCTATCGTTAGCGGGTCGAGATCTTCAAGTCTCGACCACGCAGACGAGTCTTCTGAGTGTATAGGCGAAAAGACCGGCTCACTTGTCGACGGTGCGCAAGTTGCGCACACGCTGTGTTCATGCACGTGACTAGGCTGGTTCAACGGTGGGACCAGCTGGACTGCATAATCCTCATAAGTAACACGAGAATCATTGACTACCACATGTTCCCCGGAGTCTTTCTGGACGGAATTGGAGACAGATGCATGTAAGTGCGGCCGTAAATGCGGTCAGGTACATTTAAGATAGTGGTAGCGTGAGTAAGTCCGAAGGCCTTGCAGAGCAAGGCGGCCTTCGCCGGGAGGACGTGCTCGTTCGAGATGGCAATCTGCCAGAGCAAGTTCTCCCCGGCGCCAAGTTCCAATAGCAGAGTTGAGTTTCCTCAACGTCCGAATCTGGCCGTGTTTGTGGAGAGGTGCCATTGAGGAAACTCAACGCCATTTTCTGCACATGTCCTCAAACACGTCCAGATTCGGGCGTTGAGGATATTCAACGCTGCTGCAAGTGGGACTGGGACTTGGCCTCCGGTCGTCTGCAGACTCAATGCCATTTTCTGCACATGTCCTCAAACACGTCCAGATTTGGGCGTTGAGGACATTCAACGCTGCTGCAAGTGGGACTTGGCCTCCGGTCGCCTTCCTGCAGAACTTGTGGGAGTGCTCCCACGACTCGAAGCAGCACTTGACCTCGTTTCGAACTTGAGCTCGCAGATGCTGTTGTCCTTCACCTGCCCGGGGGCAAGGTCCCACTTGCGCAAATTAGGAGATTTCGGCCGTTCATCTTTGCTATCTACGGTCAGTATCTCTTAATTCGTGCAAGTGGGACCTAGCCCCGGGCCCTGGTCCCACTGTCATCGTGTAGTGTTTTTTTTTTTTTTCCCCCCATCGAGTTAGTTGCAGGAAGCAATACCATGCGAGAAATTATTTGGGCGGGAAAAGCACCATGCAGGTTCTTTTCCTGCTCGTGGGCGAAGAGGTTTTAGGTGAGAGGTGTTGCATCGTCCGCATTTGAGGGCGGAAAACCCGTTTCTGTGGCGTCAGGCCATCAGTCATCTGTGCACTGCAGTTCTGCGTTGGGAAGGCCAATGTTACTGGAAGCAGGAGGTGTCCACATTATCCTCGCAGGCCCACAATTGGATGGACCGCGTTGGGAAATACAGACCTGTGTTCGAATCCAGATGATGGAACTTGACGAATAAAACCAACTACTAATGAATTGCTTGGGGCCGGTCAGCTCAATGATAAAATCTCAAGGCCGTCGCCCTTTTAAAAAAAAAAAAAAAAAAAAAAAAAGAGGGCCCCGGCCCTTTCCTATGATGATATAAATTCACCCAGCGAAGTATTCAAGGCCACCTGTTCACACTTGCCCTGCTCGCGTCCACACTCACTACAGCGTTCGTCTGATCATTCCCGACGTGTGTGTGTGGGTGTGTGTGTAGCCATCTTCGCTATGCACTTCACAATAAAAGGATGGCAGTGCCAGACTGTTTCCTCGGACTTTCACAGGATAACCACCTAGGCTGCATTTGAGAGATGGATAAGGACTCCGAGTCGCATCGCCCAGAGTTAGCCACAGCCCTGAGAAAAGTGGTCAACTGCACTCACCAACCTCTCTCTCTCTCTCTCTCTCTCTCTCTCTCTCTCTCTCTCTCTCTCTCTCTCTCTCTCTCTC